TAAAAAAACACTTTCGTGTAAGTGCATATTTCTTATTTAAACTCTACTGCACGTTATAAAGTGAGTTGTGGATTTATACTTCACTGCTCCGTGATTCTGAACCAAAATGAAAATGTAGCATGAGCACAGGCAGAAAAAGACCTTTCACCACAAATCTGAGCAGCACCAAACTGAAGGTACACGGAAGAAGTGTGTGAAAAATACAGCAAAAGAGAGTGACTTCTGGTTTGAAAACATACCTCAGGATGAAAATTCTTTTTCTGATTCACATCTTCCTCATTACTTTTTATATCCTAAATTCAAATGCCTAAATGCCACCTGGTCTAAGTAATCTCTGATTTTGATTTAAGAATAATCCATACACTAGTAATAAACTGGCCTGCCAGAAGTTTCTGCTCATGTACACCCTTAAATAGTGTAGTAAAAAGTTTACACTTTTCGGTCCATTAGGTTGCAGGAGCCAGTTGATCTCTGATGTTACTTTATGTTCAACAATTTCACTTTCTCTCCAAGACTAAGACTTAGATATTTAGCAGAGAAATTCTCATTCAGCAAGATTCCCCATGATTTCAATTGTGTAATAATAGTGTATCATGTAAAAGAAAATATAGGAATAATTTTTTGCTTCTGATAGTTATTTTTAGACCAAGATCATGCACAGCTAACACGTACCTTGCAAAAGCCTGTCTTCTCGTATGACATGTACATGTTGATCATCTTTGATGATCATCACTTGATCATCAAAGAACAGAATGATACATTCTATAATACTCAGCTCACCTAAAAAAAACCCACAAACAAAAACCCCCAGACATTACTGATTACCTGCATGTTGTTAATTTCTATATATACTAGTTTGTTTACTTTTGTTGTAGTAACATTGCTATGAAAAGGGAACTCCTGTTACTGTTATTACTGGAACTAAGCAAGCAATTGACATTTTTTTCTAACCTAACAATAAAAGGCTGTTTTTCATGAAAGAAAAAATATCACTTAGTTGAGGAACAGAAATTCCCTTTTTTTTCTGCCAATTCAGTTTGTACCAGTCCAAGAGCAAGAGATACTAACACACTTACTACCTCCTCCCTTTTAATTTTGTGAATAATGTTAACGTTATAATTTCTAAAAGATACAAACTATTTTCCCCAAAACATTTTTTTAAAAGAAAGAAAAAAAGAAAGATCCATATTTCTTATAAGAAATGATCTGTCAAAACCAATTTGAATTCACAAGCAGTTCTTTGTCCCCAGACAAAATCACATACTTCAGGAAAAAGCTCATTGTTGGTTCCCAATTTCTGTGGTTTCTCCTAAAACACCAGATGGTGGTCTCGAGCCTGGACTCAACCCTGTAAGCTGCTAGCAAAGGTTGCACAAGAAGCCTGTGGAGGTTTGGGAACAAAGCCCAGATCTCTTGACTTCCAGCTTGAGGGAACATTGCATTCTGTGTTGCAGGTACAGCTGCAACTGTACCGGTACTGGATTTATCGGGCTGCACTGCGAGACCCTCATTCCCTTATGTTGGTCACAACCTTGCTACAACAACGCCACTTGTGAGGACAATGCTGACAATTACACATGCCACTGTTGGCCAGGTAAGCTCCGAGTTCTCACAGCAGAACTGGGCAAAACCAAAAGCACTAATATTGTGGAGTCAAGATAGGACATCAGTCAAAGCTGGGATCCACCTCCCAGTTACTTAATCCTTCAGCCTGTGTGATACATACATCACAGCTGCAGCCGACCCTTTCTTTAGTCTTCATTCAGACAACCTTTAAATCAGTCTAAAATCTCATTTGTGAATGCAAAACATTGTCTATGTATGAACGAAAGTTAAACTAGGTGTATTGGTATGCTGGGAAACTGCTCTCCTTCATGGTACCAGTGCAAGCCCTTCTGTCTGGTAGCGAGGGGTAAGACCCACAAGGCTGTGTTCTTTACCAGAGGGCTTTGTGTATCCAGCTGTTTACAAACTGGTCCCCACACCCACAGTGGGGATACAGACCCTGCTCTCTGGAGAGACTACACAACTCTTTCAGCACATGGACTAACTACAAGTCTCTGTAGAAGTTTAACACCCGTGACCTTACTGAGGATGCAGGAGCACAAACAGCACTGTGGGAAGTAAATGCCTCAGTGTTGGACTACACAGTTCTTGGTGCAACAGAAAAGGAAAAATTAGGCCGAACCCTTGACATTTTCCAAAATTCAAGGAGCCTCATAGCACTTCAAACTCCAGATGAAACACTTTACAAATACTAAACGATTTATACTTCCTGCCCTCCTCTGCCTTTCTACAACCTGAGTGTGTGTACACCACAATGCAGCGCCTTGTTACTCACACAGATCTTCACCGTATTGCCAAAAAAAGACCCAGACAAATTCTGCCTAGCACAGCTCAACTCCCCAATGCAAAATAGCCAGAGCAATGTCCTGCTGCCAAGCCCTGGCAGGGAGCTCGAGGGAACGTTCACACCTTCAAGGAACTGAGGAAAACTTTTAGCACATGACAAAGCCTGAAACCACGTTTCAGCTACTATTCACAGTGTAGATTTGGTGTATATTTTGGGGTCTGAAAGGGATGAATAGCACATAGAATCATAGAATGGTTTGGGTTGGAAGGGACCTTAAAGGTCATCTAGCCTTCCACTACCTGAAGAGATCCTAACAAGAAAGATTAAGAGGGGCTATTTGTAAGAGTATGTATTGACAAGGGGAAATGGCCTCAAACTGAAAGAGAATAGGTTTAGATTAGATATTAGGAAGAAATTCTTTACTGTGAGGGTGGTAAGGCACTGGCACAGGTTGCCCAGAGAAGCTGTGGATGCCCCGTCCCTGGAAGTGTTTAAGGCCAGGTTGGATGGAGCTCTGAGCAGCCCGGTCTAGCAGAAAGTGTCCCTGCTCACGGCAGGCGGGTCGGAACCTCACCGTGTCACGCCACTGACCGCCCTGTCGCGGTGCTCTCCGCAGGGTACGCGGGGTCCCGCTGCGAGGAGGACATCGCCGAGTGCCGCAGCAGCCCCTGCCTCTCCGGCGGACACTGCGTGGAGCGCTCCTGGGCCGGGCTCTACGGGCGCGTCCCGGGGCTGCCGCCAGCCTTCCGCTACGACCGGGCCGAGGGCTACATCTGCCGCTGCCCGCCGGGCTTCTCCGGTAAGGTGCCCCCGGCCCAGTGCCGTCGGTGCGATGCGGGTCCCGCGGGGCGCAGGGTCCCTCTGCCGGCAGCGCGGGCCGTCGGGGCGTTCTGCCGCCCGAATCAAATATAACCTCCACGTGCGCGCCTAGCTCTGCTCTTAAGGGAAGAACAAACAATCAAACAAACAAACGAACAGTCGAATTCACAAGTGACCATAATCCTGAAAGGGATGCGTTCAGACTTGCCTTTGCCCCAGCCTGCGCTGTTTAGCACAGCCACGAACCCGTTGGGTTTGGACTGTACACTTTTAGGCCCGCAGAATTTTATTGTCAACTCCATCCGCTTGTTTCTTCTAAAAGAAAAAAATAATTAACAGCTAGATTCATTTAACCAGCTGTCAATTTCTCGTTCTATTCATCTCCTAAGCAGCTTATAAACTTTCCTGAGAGTTGCATGACTGCTGTCTCCAACATAGCAAGTACTAAAGTACATGGAGACTAGAGCTTTCACTTTAAGTTACCTCTTTATTTTTCTTCAAAGTGGCATTGAGACTTGTTTGCTTTTGTTCCAGCCCTTCCCCTAAACTGTCCTTCCCTATCCTGTCACTAAGTGTTGCTGTTGTGCTTCTGTTCTGCCTAAGAGAGTATAACACGAGGCTTCTACTAAGGTTTTTGATATCTCCCAGGCTGTCCTAAGCACCTTTACCTCTTCCCATGCCACTTCTTTCTCTTGGCCTCCTTCCAGCAATGTCCATCTTTCCAGTTGCATTTCCTCCTGTCTTGTCCTAATTTAAAAACTTCTAAGCTCTGCGAGACAACCTGAAAGGTAATTCCTTGTTTAATCATCATCCTTTATCCTCTTATTTCCTTATCAATTGCCTTCACCTGGTTTGTTTGTTTGCCTAATTTGGGTCGTGATTCTACTGGTTTCATTCACATAGAGTTCTCTTACTCCCCAGGGAGTATAGGTAGGCTCTAACTGGTCTGGAGAAAAAGAGTGTAAGAATATACTTAAATCTATTAATCTTGAATCACTTTTTTTCAATCCATAAGCTCCTCAATCACAATGCAAGACTCTTCAAAATATGACTGAAAGTATTGGAGACCCTGAAATTTCTGCTGACTTCACTTCAAATTAAATTACATTTTTAAAAAGCTTAAGTAAGTCTATTTAATCACATACCTCTTGGATGCTAGATATATAACTTTCATTAGAAAGAAAACCCAAAATAGTTATTCTTACCAAACAGTGTGCCCAGACAGGTGGAGGCAGGAAGACCACAATCTTTAACAGGGCACTGTGGTAGCAGTAACAATGCACATCTCTCTCTGGCACTTCTCTTTCCCCCAGGTAACTTGGAAATGTTTGCCTCTGACCAGGAAAAGTTATTTCTGCAAATAGTAAACCACAAGTTTTAATGAAAATTAAAGAAGATTTAAGATTAGAGTTGATAGCAGTAGCATGATTCAAGGTAGCAGGTCAGTCCCTGATCAGGACCACTCAGTATATGGGTTCTTATCTGATGTAGATGAACTAACAGTTGCCTGGAAAATACGTCCAATCGTTTCATCTGGGAATTTCATTAACACCAAAAATCCTACATTTCTGCAGCTGTAGGGCAGGAGTTTTTCCAGCCTTAACACCTGAGTAGTTACACGTGCTTTAGATATAACCCCTCAGATTCCTATTGCAACAGGACAGAGACTTTATTTAATAAATCACATTCATTTTATTATGACTCTTTCCTCAGTAAAGCATTCACATAACATTATAATCATACTTCACTGATGGGGGTAATATGCAGAAATAATAATCTACATACCCTGCATTGTGAAGGCCTGATCTAAAGGCCATTGAAATCAATGGAAAGGTGTAATTAAACTGAGGATAATTGCCAATATGTAACAAGCACAAACCAGTGTTTTTGAACTTACTGGATAAGACTGAAAACAAATTAGTGTAATTGAACTGAAAATTGAGAATATCTGCCTTTTGGACTATAGTTTTAGACCTAAGGGCAGGAGATAGTGGAGCCTAAACACACGCCTATGTCAGGATAATATATTTCCCCACCATGCTGGTAGAAAGGTATAGATATTACCTGGCAGCATCTTGTTACAGATAGTGATTGTTCAGGTAACTTGAAAATAGTCCGTAGTCCTGCTGAAAGTCTTGAAATGAACAAATCTGCAAATAAAATTATTTACACAATTTCGTTCTTACAAAATAAAAAATAAAAATCCCAGTCTGGAAACTTCACCCCAGATAGAATTGAGGACATTAGTTATATGCCTTATCCAGATCTGAAATAGAAAATTTCTGCATGAGTTCTGTGAAGGGTTAAACTTCTGCAACTCCCTTTTAAATCAAAGGGTTTGGGGATACTCAGGTTTCAAGAGGTCGAAGTACTTCTGCAGTAGCAAGCCCTAGATTTTTTCATTTTACCTTGGTCTGCTGGCCCCTAGCACAACAGTACTTTTAATAAATTGGGCTTTCATTTAAAGTCTTGTGATTTGTTACTGCTAGCTAAAGGCATTAGTTACCCTAGAACTGTGTCCTTTCATACTGTGGATATATTGTATTGCTCTAGCACTGCACATTTGTTAAAAAGACTGTTATTTGAGAGGTTAAACTTTTCACTTTGCTCATGAAAATATGTGAGAAAGGAGGAAGGCAAAGCTATGGATTTGGTAGTGACTCATTTCACCAGGTTGTAATAAACTTAACACCATGTCAAAATTAAAGAGCTTCTGAACTTGCAAGGTCTACCAAGTGACACAATCCAGTGTGGAACCGAGCCCAAGGCGCAGTGATTGTGCCAGGCAGGCAGGTCCTGCTCCCTGTGCCCGGTCCCTGGTGGGTAGGACAGTGCTGCTGGCAGGGGTGAAGCTTATCCATTTTGCATCAGCAGAATAAGGGTAAGAGGAGCAGAGCCCACTGACCTGACTGTAGCAGGGTGCCTGCTGCCTGCAGACGAGTGCTGGCTCCTCAGTGCCTTACCACTGCTGGCATCTTGTTATCTGCTGTGTGCCAGCTGTGCCACTAGCACTGCTGCTTGCTTTGGCATCATGAATTCCTAAATGGGTTTTGGCCTTTTCGTTTACTTGTCTTGTTTTCTGGTTTTCTCTTTTAAATTTCCTTGGCCCTTTTCCCAGTCTGTTGGACTAATGCAAGAGAAAATGATATGATCAGACTGGTGTCGTATGGGTATTGAATTCCTGGCATATGCATGGGGGAAAGAAACTGTCTTCCAGAGCCAGAAGATGAGGCAGATAAATGGCCAGTATGGGAGAGTACTCAGCACTCAACTAAGTAAAGAAAATCTCCACCCAGACACTGAACTGTGAGCATCACGGGACCAGTACCTAAAAACTGAATCATTTGGACTCTCATTCTGCACTGAAGCCAGGGTGACAGAAACATAGAAGCACACAGGCTTCCATTTCCCTGCATGTCTTTAGGTGCTGCTATGGGCAGACTACCCAGCAGACAGCAGGGCAGACTGTCTCAGCCAGCCATCCTCCTCTCCCCTGACCTGTCACAGCATGGTACAGACATAAATATTATTTATGAGTAATGAGTAGGATAGTGGGCATATTACCACTAACTTGGGAAGCCTAAAGTACACACATATATTTTTATAATTATAAAAATAATTATATATTTTCTTTATTTTTAATCTCCTTCCTTACAATGATCACACAGCTGCTGTCCTTAGATATATAAAGCAACATGACTTACAAAAATGAAGTCAAGGAGTTGAATAGCAAAGATCTCATCTCCAAACTCCAAATTTTATTTTTACCTTTATTTCCTTGTCTGTCCTTCAGCTGCTCACACCACAGTAGTCAATCATTCCTTCATTAACCAGGTTAATTCATTTTATTTCATGACCTGTCATCACAGTTTAAAAGGTTATTTTCTCTTCATTCTGAGACTTTAGAATAAGACAAGGCTGTTCAAGGAAAGAATGAGGATAAAAAAGGAGAAGACACAGAGAGAAAATACAATTTTCAAGTTAAGAAGCTTTCAAGGGCACAGCTCCTCTTTTAAGTGAGACTCAGGCTTCTCCTGCAAGCAAGACAGGCACTCAAATTCAAAATTAACAGGTCTGGAAGTACTGTTAGCTAATTATTATTCCCATATAAGCAAAGTTTCAAGAAGGAAAATGTTACCATCAAGTACCCATTCAAAGTTAGCTGGTTTAAGGAGAAATTCCTAACACTACACACATGAAATTGCTGAAAAATGAGTTAGGTCTAGAGATCTCTTCCTCTGGGCTTCTTACCCCTCTGGAACCTCACAGAGGCTATATTTGGGATGCAAACGTACATCTCGGCTGCCTAAATTCGCTTCACAGTCAGTACAAGATCTCTTTTTCACTGTTAGACTGCTGTGAAAAGTTCCCTTGCAAAATCAACTCGGTGGTATCGGGCAGTTGTGCAGCAAAACACGAAAAAGTGCAGCTATTTTCTGAGCATGGGAAAGAAGTTATTGCTTTCCTAGAGAGATTTCTACAGTGCTGCCCTGTCTCTGTCCAAGCCTCTGTGATCTCCATGTATTCCTGTGTTCAAAAGCACAAGGGGAAGGAGGAGGACCACCTCCTCTCACTGCTCCCAGTCAGTCTCAAAGCTCCAGCATTACAGGGCCAGCCTAGTCAAAGGCTGTACCAACACAGGATGCCCTCTGGGCCTGGCAGGCACTTACTGCCTGTAAAAACCCTACACAAAACAGACAATTAGCACTTTAAAGTACTTTTTCCATCTCTTCTAAAGCCTCTGATCTTGAAAGAACATTTGGACAAGCTTTTAATGATTCTATCCACTAATACCATTTAACATTTCTTCTATCAGTAGCATCCTGGTAAGGAGAAGTTCACACTGTCAGAATTGGTTCTTTCTCAGTTTGCCCCTCCTCTACTTCCGTCACAGAGTTCTTCCTTCTTCCCTTTTTTCTTAACTTTTGGAAATGGTCAGAATATTCTCTTTGAAAGACAAAATGTATCCTTTAGCCCTGGTCTGTGGTCTACTCCAGGGAGAGGCAAATGCTTTCAGACCCCAGGAATACAGTGTTCTCACTAGTTTCTTGTTTTACTGAGGATCAAACTGCTTTCTTTGCAATAAGCACGAAAAATTTCTCACATGCCTAACTCCCAGACCAAGCTCACTCTTTAGGTTAGTCTGATTAGTCTTTCTCTGGGCAGCCCCCAGAAGGAAGGCTAAGGTTGGGTTCACAATTCATGCACTCTGTACGGTAATGGCCATACAAAGGCAGCGTAACTCAGAACATTGTGGGCAGCACTGAAATTAGGCTATAGCTAGAAGAACTTATGAATTTGCCATTCTTTTATCAGTTACCATTGGAGAACCATTGGAACATTCCAATTTCATTTCTACTGCAGGTAGTGGCTCTCTTGAACAATTGTAAGAAATACCATTTAGTGAAAGAGAGTGTAATTTTTACATTCTTCCACCATATAAATCACCACAGCAACTAAGACTAACTTGTGTTTTTCATGACAGCTCTTTCCTTAACAGCCCATATCTTGAGACGCTTTATGAAAGCCTAATAGCTGTTTTATTTTTTTTTTTCAAAAATTAATCTTCTTATGACTTACCTTGCCCCCTACATGGCAGTGGACTGTGAGAGTGATTGCTTAAATGCACTGACTGTAGTTGTACGGTTACCTAGTGTTTATCACTGGTTATAGAACTCTGACTTAGTGGGAGGCACTTGAGGAAAGAGTAGCATATGTCTTTAAGTGATATTGATACCACCTAATAACATTTTTGTATTTACAATATTCTGCAGCTTGGGTTTCGCCTCACTAAAATCTGAATGTTTGTGCAAGCATTATCCCTGATTCAAAAAACATAGAATAAGGTCCAATATGATCATAAGGAATGACATTACTTCAACAAACAGTGGAGTCTCATAGTCTATGGAGGATGTATTTGTACATCATTATCAGATCCAGTTACCTTATTTAATGTGCTCCAAGTAGAGACTGAAATAGTTTTAGATTCTAGAAACAAAATATGCACTTGGCATGGGCACTAACTATGCAGAGGACTCCTTTTAATGAAATAAAATTCAGCTTTATTGAAAATTTCAGCTTGTTGCTATTATTCATATTGTACAAGGGAACCTTCTGACAGGAGAATATTTTTATTAGTAATGACAATCTATGTTAGAATTTTGTAAAAGCTGAACCATGACCATTAGGAAATGAGCTCTCGAGTTTTTTATGATAACTCTTTACAGAATTAGCCCCCAAACTTGGTTTGCAACACTGAGAATATACCTATGTATATTGTTTAATGATAAATATATATTACATGAGAAATCTCTCTCCTCTTCTTGTTGCAAGTTGCAACTGGAAATGCAAAGAGATTGCAGCCCTCACTTGTGCATTATTCAGCATCAAAAGAATGCATGAATATTAGATGTTTTGGGGGGTTTTTTTGAGTTAGAAATATATGGAATTAAAACATTAGGAAGCATCTACCAATATTATTTTCAGAATATGTACAGAGTTTTATTCTTTAAAATTTGACAGCTGACCCATTATTACTATGATCTATTTTCTCTAGTTGCACTGATATGTTAAGTTGTATTATGTAGTCCAGTGTGATTGACAGAGCCTGCAAGCAGTGGATATTTTGAATCTGGCACATCTCTCTGTGTTAAACAGTGTTGCACATAAACACTTTTTAGCATGAAAAGCTTTTTTCCTTGAAGGGAAGGAGGAGGGGATGAATGGCTTTTAATCCATAAGCTCCCAGATCTTGCAACGCACAGACAGAAAATGTCCTTAGATTTAACAAATCTGTATGGCCAGTACCTGGCAGAAAATGCTTTCAAAAACAAACAAACAAAAAAGGCAGTTGTATACTGTTTGGCAGTGGGATAATGTTTTTCAAGTACCTATTATTTTCCTTCACTCATTCCTGGTGGGTCATTCCATCATATGACTGACTACTTGTTAAATCTAGTCTACCCAGTAAGAATTTTCCTTCTGGTGCCTTCTTCAGGCACTGCCTACTTACCTTTTTGGTTTCTTTCTTAAATTTGTGAATAAACTTTTCCTAGCCTTTTTAACTGGCATACCTCAGATATTTATACCCTCCTCTTGACTGAGCTTATGAATTTGCTCAGTTCAATCTTTCTCTGTTGAAGAATCTCTCTGGCCCTTTCATTTCTTGCTTGTTTTGCCCCAGACCAACACCATGCTCAACATCCAATGGCAAAGACAACCACTAATGAAAGTAGCCTTTAAAGTGTGGTCCCAAACCCTGGTGAAATCAAAGGTATTGCACATACTAAAACTAACAGCAGAACTTTGCTTGTCTTCTAAAGAATTTGATTGTCCATCTCAGGAGCTACTTTACAGCATATGCTTTTTAGCATTGGTTTGTGTAAGCCTACATTGTTCTGGTTGAATTACAGTCAAATTGCAGTCAGGCAGATGCACAACTTTTCCCCAAACAGAAAGGAACTTTCTTTAAATCTACACTTCATACAGCTTTCACTACTCTAGAGAAAGTACTTAACAAGTAGACACTAACAGAGGACCTGTGCTATGGGACTAATGTATTTTACTTTCTCAATACATTCTAATTTATGGAATATTTAAGGTCAAATGTCAAGCGATAAACAAAATGACCCGATTTAATAGTATAGTGTTTTGCTCAACAGATGATTTCAAAACCAGCCTTAATAATGTCACCATCATGAACCCCATTAAAATCCAGTTTATTGGAAATACAGTAAATTATACAACCAAACATTTAAGAGGCATTACTTCTCTCTCCTTCCCATAACGGAGGAATTCAGAAGTGACATTGGAGAAGCTGGAGGAGTTCAGTCAGAAATAGTACATGGGCTAGTAGTTCTGAACCATATGCATGTATGTATAAATGTGTGTTCACACACATGTGTTAATACACATATAAATACATACATGCTACTGCTTACATAGTAAGTACCTCAGAGTACTTTTCTGCTCTGCTTATAGAAAGCCTTTCTGTGATCCTTAGTTAAAAAGGTCCACAACTTGCATCTTTTCTATTTTTGAAGGGCACAGTTTTCTGTCTGGATTGATTTGTGGTAGGAATAAAAGATTTGCCTTCATTCCTTACTGCAAACTTTGGAGCACACCATGAGTATGCTGGTTAATAAGCAGAGTTTATGCTGGTCTTCATGACTAAATAATTATTTCAATTGCATGGCTTGTAACAGTGGGAAATGCATGATGTTTGCATGCCAAACCTGTATATATTTGTTATGAAAGCGATATTGACCTACATTGAAATAAAAAGTTAAGATGTATGAGAAAACTTGCTCAAAGAATGCAGGCTGCTATTAAATTGCTATGGCATCAAATATAAATGACACAATGCCATTCATCACTTCATTGTTGTAGGGGTTACAGTTTTTATGTAGCTTAGCTACTCTGTTTTCACACTTGCAGATTTTTACGTGCCTTTGAAATACCATTTCTCACATATAAACATCCCCAAATAACCCATAGCAGTGGGATGGCATTGCTGTTTATCCTTAGTAAAGTGCTTTACTTGGCGAAATGCTATTTGCATTAGTCTCCTAAAAAATATAAACTGCCCTAATATGTGAAAATATGCAATTTTTTTGAACTGTTATCAGCATTTTGGTACCAGCACAGCTCTGAGAGTTCTGAGAACCAAGTTCCCCGTATCCTCTCTGTTCCTGTGAGCCAGTAGAGGGAGCACAAAATACTGTCCGTGTCTAGCATCTGCTAGACATTAGCAAATTCTAGCTTTAGCTGATATTTCAACACTGTCATTAGAGCCTGATCTGGAAGACACTATTTCTCAAAGACTTTGTGATGAACACTGTTTGCTAATCCAAATTCTTAGAGT